AGAGAGGAGAATTTTTAATATTTATTTTTTAGTTGGCAGACACAACATCTTTGTTTGTATGTGGTGCTGAGGATCGAACACGGGCCGCACGCATGCCAGGCGAGTGCGCTACCGCTTGAGCCACATCCCCAGCCCGAGTTTGGATTTTTAAATAATGAGACTGGAGCATACTGTCCTCAGGTCCAGGCTGGGACTGCTCTTGTTCCTGACCTGGGATTTCTGGGAGTGGTAACTTGGGACAATGATCTTCCTTCTGTTCTCTTCCCCGTGTGAATGTGCTAACATTGACTTTGCCTCTCAGGGCTGTTCCAGTTACCTGCAGCAGGTAACTTGGGGCCCCTAGGCCTCAGCTTCTGAGGATATAACAGTAATCAAGAATGCTCCACAGGGTGTCACAGGGATTAAATGGGATTACAGATGTAGACTCCCCAGGACTGTACCCAACACAGTAGGTGCTGAGCAGTACCTGCCACCTCACCACCGGGACACATTCCTTGAGCTTCACTCACCACCAATGTCACTGTCTCATAAACAACACACAGGGAGGCAGATAGTCCGTGATGAAGAGAGAAGACGATCTAAAATCATGCCAGTGCCACCATTCCAACTTCCAATCTCTGAAAGCACCCAGAAATCAACCTCCACACTACAAAACCCACCACAGAGACAACCACAACAGAACCTGTTAGGTACATTCACAGGGGCCCAGAACCACAGCCAAGGTCAGAGTCACAGTGGATGAGCAAGCACATGATCAGGGACCCGGCAGGGGGCAGGCTCTGGAGGACAGCTGAGCCTGAAGGGCAAGGTTTGTTGTCAAATGTGCTTCTAACACAGCACAACTTCTATGGGCATTCAAATCCTGTGTTTAGGAGCAAAAGAGATTTTACAGGAGAAATATTTTTGTCCCAGTCATTTTCCGGAAGTGAAAAGTGAGAGTCCCTTCCCAAGCACACCCATAAGGGAAGCCATGGCCAGGAAGCCTGTGTACGTGGCAGGGCCAGGTGGCACTTCTGAGTGGGTGGCTTACTTGTTGCTGTCCCGGTACTCGTAGATGTGACATCCTTGAGGCAATCCAGTCTCAGAGTCCAGGGTAAAAGCAAGCTTGAGCTGCACAAAGAGAAAGGAGAAAGCAGGTGAGCTTCAGGCAGCACTCCAGCAGCAGGGTGGGTAAAATGATCAAGCAACATTGGCTCCCATGGCTACGGAGAACCTGGCCCTTCCGCTCTGGGAAGAACCCACACCTCACAGGAACCCTGTTGTCCACGTCCGTGCTTTTTCATTCAGCACACAGCCAGTATTTGGGAAGTGTCCCCTTCATGCCAGACACTGAGCTGGCTGAGAAGAAGTAACAGTACACTGCTGGGGCCACCTTCATGGAGTCTGGGTCTAACAGAGGAGCCTGGCAGCAACCAAACCACCAAACTGAGGACCAGGCACATCTATGCAGAACTTGGAATTAAAGAGTCTTTTCTGAAGCAAGAAAACCACCCCACGTTTCTGTGAAAACAAATGACTGACTTAGATAGAAAGGGATGCGGAAAGGAGGGGTCACCTGGAACCTGGGGGGTGGGGGGGGTAGCAGAGAGCGTGGCATGTGCATAGGTCCTGGGGATCACCTGAATCATGGCTGGTGAAGCTGAATCCTGACAGATAGAGGGACATAGTGGCTGGTGACAATGGGGAGGAAGGCCAGGAAGAAGGTGGATTTTCTCGGCCACACTGGAATTTTGGGCCTTTATCTTAATAGCAAAGGGAAGCTTCTGGATAGTGTGATCAGAGCAGTTTGGGAAGGCTGGCCTGGCGGCTGTGTAGACATAGCAACTTGCGGTGAAAGAGCGGGAAGAGCAAGAGCCTGCGGGAAGCAGAGGCAGAGAGTGGAGAGGGGCGGGCCCGAGGAGATGGAGAGAAGGGGACAATTGGAGATTCATAGGAGAAGTGCATTTTTAGAAGTAGAATCAGCAGGATATGCTGACGGATTTGATGTTGAAAGCGGTGAAGACAGAAAGGACCAAGTTAAGGATGGTTCAAAGCATGTGTGCGCACGCCTGTGTGTGCGTAAGTATACGTGGTACTGGGAACTGAATCCAGGGCTTTACACATGCTAGGCAACCACTCTGCTCCTGAGCTACACCCCCAGCTCTGTTTATTTTGAGACAGGGTCTCACTCAGTTGCCCAGGCTGGCCCTGAACTTGCGATCCTCCTCCCTCAGCCTCCCATGTAGCTAGGATTACTAGCATATGCCACTGAGTGTGGTTAGGGATAGTTTAAGTTTTTGATCTGAACTAGCAGGCAGATGGTTGTTCCATTGTTAAGTGGGAAAACTAACTTTGGGGATGGATGGGGAGTCAAAAGTTTGATTTTTGACATGCTATCTTGGAGACACCCAATAGCTTCCTTCTGTTAGGGAAGATCAGGAGTAGGAATGCTGGCAAAGTTTTGGTTTCTTTCTTGACTCTGGTGGGGAAGGCTCAGGGTCCTGTTAGAGTCAAGGGGTCACTGCAACCTACAGTTCCAAATGCAGAGCCAATTATCATACTTACAATTTACTGGGCTTTTAAATAACTAGGGAAATTTTAACTAAAATTAACTGCACATTAGGAGGACACATTATTATGATCTTTTTTAACTGTAGGGCTGTTAACACAGCTAATGATCTGCATCATTAGATGCTGGACAAATTCTCTCTTCCTCAGAGGGAGACAAGCTCTCAGGAATGGTTTGTCCTATTATTGACCCAGATGAAAATTAAAAAAACAGAAATAAGCCCTTTTTTACCATCATAAAACTGGAACTTGGAGTCAATGGCGTGCTTTCTCTAGAGCCCTGCTTGGCTCTCTCCAGCATAGCTATTTAAAAAAATGTATTAATTAACAATTATAATCCTCTTCTCCTTATTTCTCTCTCTGCAGCTGAGGTCAGGTCCATATTAGTTTTGTCCATTTCAGAAGTCTACATTGCTTAGAAATTCTGACATCCTTTGGCTCAATGTTTAAGTAATGGATTTGTGGCTCAGAAAAATGATCAGAAATGTAAGAAGAGGCCATGTATGGTTGTGCTTGCCTGTAATCCCAGCTACTTAGGAGGCTGAGGCAGGAGGATGGCAAGTTTGAGGTCAGTCTGGGTAACTCAGCAAGACTCTGTCTGAAAATAAAGAATAAAGGACTGGGATGTAGCTCAATGTTTGAGCGCCTGCCTAGCATATATGAGGCCTTGGGTTTAATCCCCATGACTGAAGGAAAAAAAATGCAGAAAGAAAAGTTTTAACCACAAAACTGCCTCCATGTTACTTGCTGGAAAGGCTCTGGAAAGGCAGAAGGTTAAAAACCCACACTACAGATAGTCACACGTGGAATAGTGTACGGCCAATAACCTGCTTATGCAGAACTTATTAATGTGGGAAAATATTTGGAATATTTGGATAAAGCAGGATGCTTTAAACTTAAAACTGTGTGAGAAAGAACAAAGACTGCATAGAAGGAAGGCTGGGAGGCGAGAGATCATAATGGCCCAGCAGTGGTCCTGGGCTGGGAGGTTCTAGGTGACTGCTTTAATTTCTTGTCATTTTCTAGATTCTTCAGGATAAGCATGTTACTATGATTCTGAGTAGAGACTAATACATTTCCCCCTTATTTTATGACTGGTAACTCTTTTATTCGTTATTTTTTTAAGTTGTAGATGGACACAATACATTCATTCATTCATTCATTTACGGTGCTGGGAATTAAACACAGTGCCTCCCATGTGGTGGGCAAGCACGCTATCACTGGGCCCCTACTTCCTGCTCCCTTATCATGAAAGAGGGCACTGGTTGGAGAGGGCTGAGCCACAGAGTTAGTTCAGAGACACAGGGATCTGGATGAGCTGCCAAGGCTGGCTGATAAGAGGCTCCATCTCAGGCAGGGCTAGGGGACGGAGGTTCTGGGAGACAGGTAAGATAGAAGCCTGACAGGACACACACACACTGAACCATGTGACACCGAGAGCCAGGATCTGCCATCCAGCCCCACTGCACCCCCAGCTCCTATGACCAGGTGAAAAAGGAAGGATGAGATAGAAGCTCTGGTCCTTGGTCCCAAAGCTGAGGGAGGTAATTTCAGGGAAAGTCTCAAGGTCAGGAAGCTGCATACATAACAGCAGAAGGGCAGGCCAGGTGCTGAGTGGCGAGCTCAGCTTTGCTGCCTGCCTGCCCAGGGGAGGCTCTCCTTCATCCTGATGAGAGTCTGGACTAGGTATGCCTGCTGTTCATACAGAAGAACAACTTGGGGCTGAGAAAGACTAGTTAATCTGTCCACACCACAACTGGACTTAGAATTCAACCCACCCACGCTCTCTGACCACTACTAGAATTACAGGATGTGGTGATGGTCTTGATAGGAAGACAGGGAGAGAGAGTCACAGATAATGTTTAAGATGCTCTGGCCCGAGCAGCAGAGTAGATGGCCCTGCTTCTCGCTCTAATGAGGAAGAATGGCAGGCTTGGGAGGAGAGTCTGGGTTCATTTGGGATTGTTGATTTTAAGGTGTCTGTGAGGAAGCTAGTGGCAATGACGGGTGCTGGAAAGATAGTTCTGAGGTTCAGAAGCAAGATTGTAATCTGGAGGTAAAAATATGAGAGTCCTCAGTTGGTAGTAAGATGGCAACTTATTTGCAGGATGAAATTGTTCCAAGACAGTGTGTGGAGTAGAGAGAGCACTGTAGGTAGAGTCCGGAAAATCATCTGTATGAAGAGGTGGGGAGCAGAGACTGAGGAGCGGCCAAGGAGTTTTTGAGTGATGATGGTACAGGAACCCGGAGAAGACGTCGTCTGCAGGAGGCAGTCATCAGAGGTCACGCCCTTCTAAGAGGTCAGGTAAAGCAGGAATGAGCACCCAAACGAGGACTCTCAAGGCAGTAGTGGGAGCAGAGATCAAGAAGTGACAGGCTGAATAATGAGTGGGTGAGGAAATAGAACTGCAAGCGTACACAATTCTTTTGGCAAATTTGATAGGACGTGGGGCTGAAGAAGAGCATACCTTGTTTAAATAGAGGGAGGCACCCTGAGGAGAGGGGTGAGAGATATAGAACAATGGTAACCAGAGAGTCAGGCTCTGAGATGAAGAGGGGCTGGAGTCTGGCATTGAGCTGAGGACCCCTTCTCCTCTGCAGGAGCAGGCAGGTGGGAAGAGAAGCAGACAAAGCTGCAGATTGGGCAAGGAGATTCGAAATGTTTTAGTATGATTTTTGTTCTCTCCTGAGAAATAGAGGGCCAATGGTCTGCAAAGGCATGGGAATTTGGTGGGGGAAGAAGTGGAAATTTGAGGAAAGCAATAAAGGTTTCAAATTGCTTGCTTGGCAATGACCAGGGAAGAACACACAGATTGCAAGGGAGCACGGAGGGTCCACCTGGGCACTCAGATATGAGGCTACTGTAGCAACCCTTGGCCTGCTTGCTGACTTTCTAGACTTTGGCATGAAGAAAGTCAGGTTGGTCCAAAGCTGATATTTGCCAGGAAGGTTTGAGGAAAAAAATAATAAGGCAAGGGAATAGTGTCATGATATGGCGACAGAGGGACCCGAATGGGCCAGGGAATCTAAGGGGAAACAGGAAGGAAGTTAAAAACAGAGGGCTAGGGCTGGGGTGCAGCTCAGTGTGGAGGACTATGCCTATCTAGCAGGTGTGGCCCTGGCTTTGATCCCTGGCAGCCTAAAAGAAAAAGAAAGGAGGGAGGAAGGGAAGGAACATGAGATTAGGGAATAATTCTACAAATTGGGCCCACTGTAGTGACCCCCATGGGCTCTCTTTCAAAAAGAAATTAATCTGCAGCCCTGGCTGGCTCAAGTTGAAAGGAGATGTTACATTCGTCAGCAAACTACCTGCTATCTGCAGAAGTACAGGCCCCAAGCATCAATAAAAAGAACACAAGTTACTCTGAAGAGGGTGGGGGCGGGGGCGGGATTTGCAACACTTACATAGACCAGATCCCAGAACTCAGGAAGATAAGAATATTTTTTATTGGAATATATATTTTTTTCTTACATAAAATATGTAAGAACAGGTTCCAACTAGAATTGGTCAGCATGAGCCAAAAGAACCTAGAGTTGTCAAGAGCAGTGGCACTTGAAATTAT